GGATTTCAAGTTGTGAAAATGCTGTTATTGGATTTCTTCGGGTGGGTCCCATGGGTAGAACGCAGCCGCCAACTATAAAATTGTCATCCGAGTGAGGCAGGTATTTTAGGTATCTGCGCCACCATGTTTTTTGTTTCGTGCACAGCGAACCCTCGCATACCTATCCTACCAAGTCTAGGCTCGTAACGTGTGGAAATGGTTAAAGCCATCCCGTACGCAGTGCAGGATCATAGCCATGGCGCAGGCAAGTCGTTGTAATATTTATTTGTTCTTTAGGATGCGCGAGCAGCCGGTTTAAGTGGTGAATTTATCGAAGAAAATCGACGATTCATGTGTGCGGGTGTTGAATCCACCTACGCCCGAAAAACGAGTGAAAGTCCTTATTTTACTTTATGGTCCATAGAAAGGAGATAAAATTTATGTCTTCCCAATACATCCTATTACACCACGCTTCTCTTCTCGACTCATAGCAAGCAGTTTTTAAAGGTAGGAATTCGGAGTGTGGAATCCGTTTATTTACGAATGTTAAAGACACCACTGCTACACTGCTACCGCACACCCTATATAATATGAGTGATGCTGCAGCGTGTTATTTATTCACGCTTTTCGATTCGCTTCTGTTTTATATGCATTATCATATGATAATACGCGGGCCATGGCTCATGTATAAGTAACTAGGGTAAATATGGTGCAGTACGTGCACAGAGAAACAAATATTAAGAACTATTCAAAATGCATGCATTGATATTTACAATTGTGCAAACTTTAACTGAGTTTTAAAATGAACCGGAATTAATTTTAGCTTGTAGATTTACCAGGAAAAACGAATGAATATCTTTGTAATACCGGGAAATTCAACCGATGAATGTAAATAACTTTGTTCGCGAATAAATTTCGGAATTGCGCAGCAGTACAAAACAGTGGAAAGTAGAAACTGTGTGTTGTGGTTCGGTGAGTTTTAATGTTGTTCGTAGTAAATAGTTGTATGTGTAATTAATCTATAGCTTCATCAACTTATATGAGTTTGTAACATCCATTAGTAATACCAAGTGGAAATTTTGATGGAGTGGAATATATTTATATTTCACATTAATATAAACAGTATTAATGTATGAATTCAAATAATTGTAAAAGTTATAGTTACTGTGAAAAATTAAAAAAATGTTTAAAATTGATTATTTTGCATCAAACTTTCAAATTTTAGTAAAATTGTGGGTAGACACGTAATAATCTATTAATATCATACTTTTGGAGTTAATAAAGATAAAAATTAAGAAAAGTTTACTTTAGTCACGGCTTTGGCCCTCCGTGAATAAAGTGCCACTTTTTATGTCTCAAAACCGTAAAAAAAAGTAGTGTTTTAAAGTTGAAAGTACAAAAAACAGTTTTTGTGCCATATTTTACAAAAAAATCTAAAATATCAAATATTTTGAGCAAAAAACAGAAAAATCAACTTTTCCTGTTATTTTTGGTAAAATTTAACAAAAAACTGGAATTTCTCCAAAAATCTTAAACGTACAACACTGGTAAATGCAGAATATTAAAGAAAAATTATGTTCCAAAATTATTTTTATTGAAATTTTTACTTAATTTTATAAAAATACAAAAATTTAAAAATTAATACGTTTTAGTTAATGTTTCACCCACTCTCATCGATTGTAATTCCACTTCCCTCCCAAGTAAACACATCAAAACAAAATAACAATTATAATAAACTATCCAAACCACAATATCTCAATAAACGTCTGGGTCCTAACTCTCCTCCTGACACGCTCAACTCATTTGCTGAATCGTCTACCCCCTCCCAAAATAGATTTTCTAATGTACGCACGATCTTAATCCACGCTGAGCGATAATATTGTTTCCCTGCGATGTGTGTCTACAAACACAACTACCGCTCCTCTGCGCTATCACAACACGAAGCCGAGAAGAGCAAACTTTATCAAACAATCTATCACCCCACACTCCACACCCGTTTCGCTGGAGATGCCTATTAACCGTAGAGTGTCGATTCGATGCGTGCGGAGTGGTAACTTTTGAAGTTGGCGGTGTGCAGAGGGAAACCGTTTTAGTCACGCTACATGACTTTTGACAATCTCGCAGCAGCTATCTCTCACCCACACAGTTAACGCGCGCGATCAGGCAGACGTGAAACTTCCTTAATTTCCTTTGCGATATTCGATTTTCTATCGGTGCAAGTGCAAAGTGCAAGTAAAGATGAAACTTTGTTGGAGCATGTAATCCTGTTGAATATGTCGAATACTGCCCGTTTCACTGGGCATATTGTGCTGGAAATTTCAATGCATAAATATGCTGTGAACGTGGACGAATTATTATTGCCGGCGGATAGCAGAGTAGAAGTCAAGCGTGCACTGATTTAGTGTGCTGAATGTGAAAAAGTGGAACGCAACAGTTGTGCCGACATTGGCCAAAGAAGTCTTTATTGATTCGTTAAACTCGCATCGGATGGCGTTCTGTGCTTTATTCCCGACTGCTCGAGCAAATTTTACGACGATCTGATTGTGAGATAACCGGGTAAGTTATTGCCGACAGTGTGCAGTCCAAGGAAAATTATTGGGTGTCGACAGGAAGGAATATAATTAAAATTAGCCAAGTTGGACAGTTTGATTTAGAGGAAAAGAAAGATGTGAACTATTGTTTGTTTATTAATTATTTTTTTAAACGCCGAAACTCATTTTTCTTCCATTAAAAAAAGAAAAATGACAAAATTGCAAAAATTTTGCTGTCAAAATATTATTAAACCACTTTACTTAAATAACCTTCTAATAATTCACCATAATCCATTAATATTTGCTTACACACACTTTCTATAAAAACCATAACCATAATTTATCCACTATCTCTATAACATCTCCCTCTATACCAGTTCAGTTCAGTTTAATATTGTTTAGTTTGTAAAGAAAAGCTAAATTCATTTTACCTCCTCGTGTGTGTTCAATCAGGGATGAAATACGATCGTCCCTAATACCCTGTCGATGCGCGGAATATGAATTGAACAAACAAGTACTTAATCAATAAGTTCCTTCCATATAACCGCCCAAAAAATGTCTGCGCAATAACAAGTCAAACCGCCATTCGAGCTGCACGTATGTGGATGTGGATAGAATACGTTGAGGTGTTTTGCCAACGAAATATCCTGGCAAGCTATTATCAAGGATCTCGACGTAACGCTAAAACAACACTCCTCTGCGGTCATACCGCCAGCGTATAGGTGCAAAACCTCAAGTTGGGACATGCGAACGTGTCAAGTCAATATTTTATTATATCGAACCGGCGTGTTTACTATCCAGCAGCAGTCCAGCCAGGTCGAATCCTCGGATTCAATGCGGGCGTGACGACGTCGCTGGGATCATTCAAGCTTATCCGAAAAACATTGTCTGGCGTTTCATAATACACACCATTGTTGAGGAAAATATCGACGCTGTGCGGACGTATTATAACCGTTGGTTGTAAAACAACATCGTTGTCGGGATTGTCGGACAGAGATTCGAAAAGAAAGCTCGGGAGCAAATTGTATACGAAGAGCGCGCAGATTATGGATTTCAGATATAAGGTATGAAATATTCAATGGTCTGCGTTGGTGGAATCCTCCCCACACAGAATGTCATTTTCGACAAACATCCACTGTATCCACTCTATCCACTGGGAACGCTGGGAACGGCGTCTGCAGAACGGAGTGCGTGATTCCGGATTGGTGTAGTATTACAATTTCGCTCACAGCCGGCTGTTGTAAACATCGAACACGTATGCATTCACTTGAGGCCATTGTTGATACTATTCAAAAGGGACTTATTATTTTGGTGCATTCGTCTTGGGAGCACGTATTACCAGCCGACAATATCTTTAGTTATTGCAGGAAAATTATCACAACATTCAGATACTGAAAATACAAAATTCTTGGTATATTAAGAGTATATTAAGTATCAAGTGCGCTAAGTGGCACTTTGGTCACGCTTAGCAAAATATTTTATTTCAAAAATTTGAATTTTATTTCAAAATTAGGAAAATACGCAGGTGCAAGCTTTATCCCGTGACTAAAGTACTTTAGTTACAGCTATGGCCATCCGTGGTTAAAATACTACTTTTTGTGTCTTGAAATCATGTAAAAAGTGGAAAAGATCCAATAAAACTGAATAAAGTTTGATGAATTCATTTTTTCCTCTTCCTTTTGCAGGAAGAGTAAAAAACATAGTGTCGTAAATTTAATTCCAGGACGCTGTCACAACTACTCGGATGCGACGGGTTGATATTAAATTAAATACAGTATACGAAGTAGTTCCATGGGAGAGACGCAGTCGCCAGATTGAAAGTGCTTAAGCGTTAAATAAAAATTCTCCTGGAATTGTACGTCTGGCGAATGGATCTAGCGACAGGTTTACTGGTTCGCGCTAAGTCGCAAAGCCAGCGAGATTATTTCGCAAAGACGCCGGCGCCCGACCCGAATATATATACGGAATTTATGTACGCGGTAATACTATAAGTTGATATTATATTCATTCAATTTTTTGAGGACATCGCTCAAGGTGTCAGCTGCAGTTGCATTTATCTAACTTAAACTTACCTCCAATATTTTTTGCTGTTTATATTTATAACTTTTGAGATATAAATTTTACGGTTTTAATCTTTGTGTGGTATTTTTATGTGCCAAAAACTTCTTAAAAACACATCCGAGCGTAAATGATCGCTTCCTTTGTTCTATCAAAGTTCCTTTTTATATTTACGAGTGTATTGATTGCGTGGCGGTCGTAGACAATATAAAAATACGAGTATATGTGAAGCGTTGGCTTGGTTATAGTCGAATGCGGGAATGAAGAAGGAAAAAGTTCTCGACGCTGGAGAAAAAATGTTTTCCAATGGGGACGTTGGAATAAGTTACGATTATTATGTGTTTTGTCTTCGGCGCGAGCGCCTGTTTGTTTTGGAAGTTAAACGCGGCGGAAGAAATTCGTGCGGAATAAATGATGAATGTAAAAACTCACCGGCACCAGGAACCGTCGCACTTCAGCGAGCGCGTAGGCGATGCGAGCGTGCGCCTCCGCAGGTGTGGCGAACGCGCTGATTTCCACGTGTAGTTCTTCACTTAGGTGCTGGAACTTCGGATCACCGCTCGCCCGCAATTCCTCTTCCTGGAAAATATCACCATTTGGTACATACACTGCGTTGAATTAATTTTAACCGCAAATTGAGTCGGTTTTTGTGCAAAAAATCAGTTTTTGGACCAAAAAGAGATTAAAATTAATAGCTCTCATCCATCTGTGCCACCGGGACGTTCATAAAAACGTTTTTAAATCCCGACATGTTTGTGTAACCACAGTTTGCCCTATATAGCATTTAATATGCATCAAGCAATCAGCTAACTTAATAAGATTGCCATTAAACTCGCGCCTTTCGTAATAAATTTTACTGCGCTATGGAAGTGCTATATTAATATGGTCCTGCATTTCTAAAATGTCATTTGTCAAATCTTTCCTGCATCAGCCTGTTCATAAAAAGTTTATTACGAAAACTTTTAATGAAGTAGAGATAATGATCTAATGCAGAAAAGTATATAACTACATCATTAAAAATCTACTTTGATATTGATTGAGTTACTACGATACCTTGTGTCGATCCTTCATGGACCCGCGACCCAGCACGGCCATTTTGCACATTGTGTCTTCCTGCAGGCGTTTCAAAGAGTTTCCCTTGGGGCCGAGCAACTTGCCCACAAAGTTGAACTGCAAATATAAACAAGCTTGAGAACAACGCGCTGCAAACCAACTAAATAATACAAGTTTTCAATATTATATTACCACCGCCAAACATTTCCGGATTGCGCATTCAAATTCACACCGAAACTTTTTGATACATAAATTTCATCAAAATTTCCTAAACTAGTTTTATAAACTTCTTGATTTCATGAATCAACACCTAGGCGGGATTTATTCTATTATTAGATGAGTAATGGATGATGCTAGTTGCAGGAATTTGAAGCAAAAAGAATAAACTTGCTTCCTTCCGGTTGTTAACGCTTTTGAGAAAAGTGCGACTGTCGCGCCGGCTGAAAATGCTTCATGCCTGCTGCTGCCACCAATGGGTGTTTAGTAGCTGCTTAGACTTTATGAAAAGAAACTTTCATATCAATAATCTAGCTCCCACGCCGTCGAAATCCACCGCGTACACTCACCAACACACATCTAAGCCAGGAAAGGAAAGTTTCCAGTTGCTAGTTGTATGAATCAGCTTCGTGCTGCGGGTCTCAAGCTTCCAGCAGTTAGTCGCAGCTAGTGGGAGTTCTATGCCATCAGCATTGCGCTCATTCGCGATGATTATATACTCGAGTCATGCACCAAAGAGCACTAGCGGCCCGGCTGCGGGAATTTAGTGAATAATGCAAGTAATAACGCCACCAGCGCCAAGGGATGCGAGTGTGGTTATGGACGACACTTTATAAATTCACAAAAATGCTTCATTTTTACTCGTCTCGCGCTTGTAAGAATATAGATTCGTGCGGAAATTCACCACTTGAGAGTGAAGTGGAAAGTTGGTCAATGCAGTGCACGCGCGTGTGTCCTTAACGATACATTTCTGTGCAATTAAATTGAAAACGAGTGCGCGGAATTTTGCGCTTCCGGCGCGCCGCGTCGACATCGATAACATTGCTTTCCAAGCAAACTGCCTCGTTAGCACTGCCTTGTGCACAGGCGGCGATTTTGTGCGGAGTACAACGGGGTATATTGATTGAAACCGGAAGTGGCGGAAGCCGGAAAGCAGACGGTTCGAACTCCAACGTCAAGTTGGGCTGAATTTAACCGGATGAATAATAAATTTCATTTTGGAACAACAACTCGTAAAATATTTCGAAAAATTTTACTTTGTATCAAAAATATTAGTATAGATGTATCGTTAAGTATGTTTGTTACTCATTTACACGTAAACTACTTAAGCAATTTTGTTCAAACTTTACAATATTATAGTTAATTTAACAGAATAAGAAATAGACTAATTTCTGTTGAAAAAAATTAATTGGAAGGGTGTTAAATACGGGATGAAATATTTATTAAAATTTACCAAAAATATTTACATAACCATAAATAAACAAAACTGAAACTATATTAAAATAATTGCAGTTGTAAAATTGATCACAATATTTTCCACAATTTTAAAACCCATCCACTAAAATGTTTACTTTCGCAATAATTCGAACAGTAATTAGCAATCAAAAAATACATCGCCCAAATAAATGAAAATAGATACGAGCGTAATTACTTTTATTGTAATGCACGATGAATTTTAACCCAAATGTATATTGCAATAAATACAATACACGTTCACTAATGGACCGACATTTTCGATCGCATGAAGAGCACACACGCAGCCGACTTTAATTATATTTTATCGCTGTTTATACCATAACCGTAAAATATTTTTAAAAACAAAATGTCACGGAGGCGCGACGCAACATGTAAGTATACACAACGCGCTGTGTTTTGCGTACGTGCGTGCCAGCCGCATTGCGATATTTAACATGCAAATCTCCAAATCCCACACTAATCTACGGCTGGGATCTGTTGGTGGTGGATGCGCCGGGTAAGAGAAAGAAAACACTGGTTCAACTGGTTCGCGCAGTTTGCCAAGTGGACTTGAGGTTTCGGATGGCGCAATCGGTCGCCGATGGCCGTTAGACCCGTTAAGACCACTTGCAAACTAGACAATGCCCGATGTGTCGCTTGAGCGTGGAATGTTAGTTGGAGCATTAGAAGTGCGCTTAAGACATGTTACAATCGGCAAACTAATCGTATTACATCCACCCGGCTAGCGCTATTTTCACGCTTTATTTCAATGCTCAGCAATTTTGCGCAAAAATTGCTTTTTAAGGTAAAGAAGCAAAAAGCAAAGGAAACTGTTGATATTAGCTGGGATTTATCGTGGCTAATACTCAACTATTATATTTATCTACGCTCTTTTTCACTTGAGAGTAAATTTCATTTATAACATTTGCGAAGGGCAGCGTTTGCGCACAGGGAGCAAATAAATGGAATTTTAAATTACTCTCTGATTCAATTTGAAATCTAATATATCAGAGCATAAATCTTGGCGCACTATTTGATTAAATTCGCTAAAGAAATAGAAGAAACGCTGATTTTATATTCGATTCAAAAGTTCAATTAGCTATTCATAATAAAATTATATTTTTAAGTGAATTTATTCATTTCGTATTTATATAATATTCCACCTGATTTGCTGCCAAGAACTTTATGCAACTACTAAAGTTAATTACCGTGACTTATGTCAGTAAACAAAATCCGAGACGTAGATTCAGTTATCGTCGAGTTGGCAAATTATGAAGAAAGTTATAAACAAGTTAAAATGCACTCACACGCCTAATGTGTACGCGCGCAGCCAACAATTAGAACGTGAATGATAGTCATTAATTATATGAGTGCGTGCTTGCGCTGGTGAAGATCGCTAAAATAATAATTACCGCCGGCGCCCGCGCGAAAAAGGGTTTGCGCGCTCGTGTTCGTTAGCGTCGGCCTGCGATTGTGCGAATCCAAATGGGATTTTAATTAAAACGCGCTCGATAATTCTGCTCGCGCGCGCAGATTTACCCAAATTACCATGTTACTTTCTCTGGCATGAGCGCTTGGGGTTGGGAAATCTGTTGGTGGCATTCAATCCGACTGCGATTCTTTTCCCTCTTGCCCGACTTATCTACGAAACGTTGCGTGAACGACGTTCAATCAGTGTAAACACGTGTATTCATATACAAAGCGTTTCTGGAATAATAAACTGACTTTAAAAACACTACATTTATGTCACTTTGATAAATCATCTAAAAAATATTTATTTTATTTTTTAAAATGTGTTTTAAACGTTTGGTATGCAGATTTTATTTTTATATCGAATTGTTGTGGTTGGGAGCGCGCTCACCCGGCGCCTCCACTGAATGCTTGTGCATCGAATTGACGTGGATAAATTGTTTCAATAGCGACGGCAGGACGTTGATAAACGTTGCAAAATTCAAAGACGCAATGATAATATAGATTACCTACTCGTAGAGAGGCAGACGTTCGGCGTGGCAATTTTCGACTCTGGGTAAACACGCAGAGTGCACATCAGATAAACAACCACCTGGAGATGAATAATTGCTATCTGGAGGGTAACTCTGGGTTGCAGGTAATTCGGGCGCGCGCCCGTGCGCAACCACCGGAAAAATAACACCCAAGATTTAATGGGCTCATACCCCAATGATCCTGATCCCAATTGCAACGATTTACCCGCGCCGCAAACGAAATTAACCGTGTTGTTTGGATAAACTCTCCGAAAAAAAAATAAAAAATAAAAAAATTTGATAAAAAATAAATTAAGGGTGTTTTATAGTAGATACTCATAGGTACTTAAAACTTTTTAATGTGTTTTTGCGTTTTTTAAGTGGAAATTAATATAAAAGAGTTTTTTTGTAAGAGATGAAAGGTCGCGGGTGGAAAACGTATTGAGAACAAAAGTAGTTGATGCATTATGAGCGTGGAAAAATTGATATTACTCTGGGCGAGCGAAGAAATACAAAAGAAGTGAATTAGAGTGAAGAGCGGAAAGAGTTGTAAAAAGCATAAAAGTGGAAAAACATTTTCGATGCGCGGCGTTTCGTTGTTTTCGCGCGAACCTTTTCCTCGCGAATGGTGGAGAGGTGAAACAAAAAAGTCTATTTAATACAACATTAAGCGTTTTCCAGACGCGAATATTTTATAAAAAGGTCCCTCAGCGCTGAAAAACAAAATATGCCCCCTGCAAATTATCTCGACTCGGAAAAAACCGCACTGAATCAGATCCACTTCTGTGATCACCGAGTGCGATAATGGAGAGTTACTTTTTCAATTCATAACACACATTGTGTGAGTGCTGGAAAAAGAACCCCTCAAATAATTCGCTGTGTATGTGAAAAACAAAACATGAAACAAGCGCGCAAAAAGAGGAGAAAAAAAAATGCAACTCATTTCCACTCATACAGAGAGCGCATTTAATTTAAAAAGCGTGAACTCCGGAGATAAAGCCATGGCTCAATCATTGTCAGCGGGTGCGGTCACATAAAATATGAAAAGGCATCGCCCGAGGCGCGTCAACAAAACACGCGTTCTCCCACGCTTGCTGCCGCTACTGCTAAAGATGTTCGAATGTTTGTTCGGGCGCAAATAAAATTTACTCACCGAACTTGGGCCGCACTTGTTCGCCGGAGCGAAAAGTAAATAAGCAACTATGTCAAAAACTTGTCAAACTTAAACACACGCGCGCTGCGAAACTCCGGTGGCGATCGAAGCGAAGTTTGAATCATTAAAGAGCTCCAGCACGGATTAAGTTGTTTTTCGTGCCGCGTGGGAGCACCAAAATCGCAATAAACTCAACGCTGATTTCCAGCGCCCGCGCATTGTTTGAGCGTTTTCAAGCGGTGGAAAGCGTTCAGCCGTGGCAAACAGGCGGCATACTTCGGACGCTTCAATTTCGCATGATTTCGTCAAATTATCTAGCTTGATTGCGTACTTTCAGGAGCGACGATGGACTCGGGGAATGGCCACTCAAATGGCGAATCTTTTGCGTTTTGCAAATGGAAAGAAGGACGATGTTCAGCTTGAGTGAGCGCTCGTGAAGTGTGCATTCAAGATTAGCAAATGCGGGAGAAATACCAATTCAAATCAGGCGAGACGATCAAATTGAGTTGAATAAAAATAAATATCTTTACAGAAATTACATATAAACAAATAAAATTACGTTTTTAATGAAAATATACAGTACAGTACTGAGGCTCTGAAAACAATGTTTTTCACATCAAATAGCAAAAATCACGCAAAAACAAACAAAAATTATTTCTCCTGTTTTCTACTTTTAATTAATAATAAATTATTTTACAGTACAAAAACACTAATAAACTCATAATTTCCGCAAAAAATGCATGCATAATCTTAATTTTTTATCTTTTACTTTAAAACGCATAATAAAACATCACTTTGTTTAATTAAAATAGTTTCGCCGTGTCAGCGTGTAGTGTTGAAAGCGCAACTAAATAAAAACATCAGTGGCTCAAAGTTTATGGGGTTGTAAAGATGTATAGCGCCCGGGCAATGTTATCGAACATCTAGTTTGAACTACGCTCCGGATTCCACCCCGAAGAAAGATAAAGAACGTGTAGTTTGTGCTTACATACAAACGGGATACAAATAATACCAACTTTGTTGGTTCTGCAGTAAACAACTCACAAGTTCAAATAAATACTATGCACTAATAAATCTTTGCGCTTAAAAATTAATCTTAAAGTAGCATATAACGCAGAATTCAATTACTGAAAAAAAATTCTTTCAAACATGGGCGAAAATAAATTATTTAAGCACGAGCAATTCAAAAAAGAAAATTCAATCAAAAATTCGCGTTTTTTTTTGCTCCAACGAATATTATCAACGACTTGAAAAAGAAACGTTCAACAGCGAACAAACGAACGGAAGGGCGATTTCAATAGAATCGATTTTATAAATTACAGTTAGATATACGACGGAAGCGGAGGTGGGATGAGGTGAAGCTCGCAAGGCGGAAGAAAAAGTACAGGTAGACGATGCGCGCATTTCAATGTACGTACACCGGAAGCTGGCGGATGCTGCGAGACGATGGAAGACGCATGGCAAAACGGTGCGCGATTTTCCGGCAGCAACCAACGATGCTGCTCGCTTTCCTGCTGAAAAACGTCTCACAAAAAAAGAGTGTACAAAACGCGTGCTTACCTTCGGATGATCACGAACGGGCACAACAACCCGTACTGCAACTTTAATGGGTTTATCTCGCGTTATGTCCACCATCCTTCTCGACTCGGAGTTTTTCATTTCTGAAATAGATAAGAAACGTGATTAAATTGTTTGCATTTCAAACGTAAACTCATCAATAATGACTACATTGCAACGTAAAACGCGTAAACTATTTCTGTTAAGTACTTTTCATTAAAGCATCGCAGTTTTCCGCTGTAATGTTCTGCACTAATTGAATTCTGAATGCTTCGGAACGTGTTCCGGTTTTTTGTGTCAGGCATTGTTAATTAACAATGTAACAATGTAAAAACAAGCGCTGCTTTTTAAAACCGAACAAAAAATTCACTACTTTTTTGTGTGTTTTTATTACAGTGCCATATGTTGTGCGTTTTAATAGCGTTTGTCGTTGTCGACGGCGCTGACAGTGATGGCGGCTGGGGTATTCTGATCAGCGCAGGCGGCAGCAAGGTGATAAAACTAAAATGCGCATGCAAACGCGCTGCAAACAATAAAACTGCGCGAGACATGCTTCAATTTAACGTGTTGAAACTATGTGGAGGCGCCGGGCATTATATTCACCCAAGGGAAGTTATATTATTATTGCTGCCACATTATGAAAATAATTTTAATGAGAAAAACACGTCATAATTATTTTAACATTTTAATTGTTTATATAAAAATAAACGTAATAAAAATTGAAATAACATCAGAATTAAATATTTCGAATTTTGTCATGTGGATTATGATGTCAATCAGAGTCTGTAATGCGTGTAATAACCAATAGTTAAACAATTAACGAGGATGACAATGGACGGTCCAGACACCTGGTTACAATTAGGCTGCAGGGTGATATAATCGTGTGGCGTTGGGCACCGATGCGCGTTTCATGGCGATGCCTTTTATTCTAATCGCTTGTCTAGTGCTATGGGCGTACTTGGAAACAAAAGCACTTACACATCTACGCGCGTGCAATACTATTATCTGGAATATTAAATTTTAGCACGTCGTGAATTTACATCGGCGCACAAACGCGGTCGGAAACAGCGGGGAAGCAATGAGCTTTTGGTGATTGGCGTTTATGTGCGGAATGTTGCTAACATGTTTTGTGCATGCTTGTCTCGTCTACTTGGTAGTTATTATATAAAATAGGGAAAATACATCCTACGGGCTTTAATATAATATTCTACATATAATGTGAGTGTATTTGTTTGTTTGTTATGCTTTCATGCAAAAATCAATGACTTAATATTAATAAATTTTGGTGTAGTGATACTTAAGATCATGGAAAATAAAATGAGTTACTTTTTAATTAAATAAAATAATTTTAAGGGTGTAAATTAAGTGTTAAAAGTTGATATAGTGATTTAATCAAAATATAGTTTAATTTTTTAAACTAAGGTGGCGCTAAATACTATTATTAAATAGTAGAATTTATAAATTCATAAAATATTTAAGAACAAAAGAATATTGTTGTTATTTTTTGTCAAAAATTAATGTTAAACCAATATTTGTATCAAGAATTATGTTTTTATGTTTTGAGCACAAACAGTTGTGTTAAAATGCAACAAAATTAACAAAATGAATTTTGATAGTTCATAAAATATTTATGTATTGCAATAAATACAAAAACCTTGCGTTATTTTTGTTTTTATTTATATTTAACTAGCAAACCAAAACGACTGCCAAGAATAAATCAGGCTATACGATGCAAAAAACACCTTCCCTAGCTTCTTCTAATGTGATCATGATTAATGAAATCACAAATGTGCCTCGACGGCGACCCAAAAAGAAAGATAAATCTACGCTAATTAATTACAACTTTATTTGACGCCGTCGAGAATAATCCGCTTCATCTTACGAGCACATACTTACATACATAAATGAATTTAATAATTTTTATAAAATTTGAAATTTAGTTTATTAAATAAATTTCCATCTTTTATATGTAATAATACTTGTATGCACATGGTGTAGCAGTTGGCTGCGTGTAAGTTTATTTAATTAATGAAAGGTCACTGATTGAAGCTTGACGTAGGTGCAAAGTTTGCGCATTGCTGGCTTGTCGTCGGATTCGTTTAGCGCCAGCAGCAAATGCAACTGCAAGGGTTGTGCTAGCGTGACAAAATCGCCACAACGCACATGCATCATTTAAGCACGGCGTTGCTTTAATTAATCCAATGCGGCTGGCTAATACGGTTGAAAACTGAAAGGCTAAAAGCTCTCGACGGGCATAATATGCATGCATTCAATGTGGAAAACTTTGACATCAAAATTGCAGATTGTACCGAGATATCTGGATGTAAAGATGAAAACAACTTTTTTATATTGTAGTAGTACATTAAGTATCAAGTGCGCTAAGTGGCACTTTAACCATGTTTAGTATCGTGATGCTTACGTTATTTTTTTTACTTTTGCTATATTTCCACAATTAGTTTCGTTTTTCCACCCGTGATTAAAGTACTTTAGTCACGGCTTTGATCGTCCGTGTTTAAATTATCACTTTTTGTCTCAAAACCAAATATTTGTAGACAAATATATTTAATTTTTGTCGTAAAGTCTATTGTATAAAATAAAATGTGAAAAATTAAAATATTGCACAGAAAATGCGGTTCCCCGACGGGCAATTCGCGAGTAATATTATAAAACGTGCCTTTCGTTGAAATTAGTTCGGGACTTTTGCCGCCAACAACTCCGGCGTCCAACTTTTTCCATTTCCGTGCGAATACAACTATATCCGGTTAACCTCCGCACAACGCACGCCGGTGCTTCATTTTAATACACACCTAGGCAGTCGACCCGAGAACAATATAACGAATAAATGTATAATGTATAATGACATGCCTACTAACCCAACACCCTTGAAATACAAGCTGGTTATCACCGGCGTAGAACAATTTACAGGAAAAGTGCCTCGCGTAAAGATTTTGTATCTCATTTTATATATTCTGTGGAGGCCATTAAAAACAATGCGAATCTGGTGCAAGGTGGATGATTGAGCGCGGAGAATGGCGGAGAATGAAAGATGAAGGCGTATGTATGTGTGGGGGTGGAAAACAGCGGCTGGGAGCGGAGTATAATGACGGCACAACATTTAGACGATGCTTTCGTATGAATTCTTCACCAATTAGCGAACGCCAGGCTATTGTTATCCACCGGCGACAAAAGGCTCTTCAACGTGGGCAAAATGTCTACGTTTGGGATTATGCATGCAGGTTTAAAATTTGTCTTTGATTTGTTTCATTTTTAAAGGATAATAATGAAACAAAAATTTATTTAAAAAAAATTAGATTTATATCAACCGAGGTGTATAAATAGATTTTTAATAGAGTATCAATAGTAGTAAACTGTACTTTAGCCACGAGAATAAAGTAGTTTAGTCACGGGTGTGACTAAATTACCACTTTATGTGTCTCTAAACCGTGAAAAAGTAAAGTTTTAAAAGTGGCAGTAAAAAATCTAAAATTCTGAGCCTAATATTTGTTATTAAATAATTTTTTAAATTTCCGCTTTATATTCAACAACCCATTACTGCGCTTTAATAAAAATTTCAATATGTTGAATTCATTGAAGCTCGTCTAGAAGAAACATTACTCTAATCGTTTGCAACGTAAAGTTATCCATGCCAAAACACAGTCTCAGCATTATGATGGCCGTAATCTAAGAACCGGAAGACTGCGACTAAGCATTTTGAATATTTCGCCGGCGCCGGCATAAGAAAAGCAACAGTTTGCAAACATTAGAATTCGCCGGCACGTACCGCATGCATTTGCGCGCCGGTAGTAGTGTGCAGGCATACGGTGGAAATGCGCTGAAAATTCGAATGGCATTTTGACGTGTCGCGCATGTAAAACTGCACGACGCCCTTCGACGCCGCCTCATTAACAATTAGTGCTCGCCGAGCGCTTAGCGCCGCCATTCAGCGTGCTAATCGCTTAGACGCGCCGTCGCGAATTGCTAATTGCAAAGTAATTTACTTCGCACCGAGGCATTCAAAGACTTATCGAGTTACGGCGTCCGGAATAAAATAAAGTTTAACGCGCACTTTTTGCCGAGCTCCTTTTGTTTGAATTTGAGTGAGTGGTTAACTACTATTTTATTTTAAAGCAGGTGTTAGTTTTTTTATGATTAATTTTCAACTCAATTAATTTTATTCAAGACTTGAGGTGTAATTAATAGTGTATTAAATATCAAGTGCGCTAAGCGACACTTTACCCATGTTTAGTAAGGTTTTTTTTATTTTAAAACGTTGAACATCATTTGCCCACTACTGGGAAATGTGAGGTTATAAATACATGAGTTTTAAATGCGCAGGAGCAAGCTCCAACCCGTGACTAAAGTACTTTAGCCACGGCATTATCCGTTTGTGATTAAAATACCACTTTTTGAATCTTAAAACCGTGGAATAAATGAAAAAATCGATTAAAAGTGGGAGTAGAAATTAAATATCCCATAAAGTTTTAATAAGTTTGTAAAAAGTTGAATGCGTTGCCATGACAACATTGATTACAGTTAAAATTTAAATTTACTTATCGAGAGTGCGTCGATTGTTATCAGATTTTCAAAAATATCACTGACGTTCGTATTCGCTTCGAAATGATCGCCGCAGCGTTGAGGAACTCAACGCGCGCACTGCTGGCCGGGCGAAATCCAATCGCGCCCAGACTGCCGACCCCCTCGATCGACGTCAATCCCAAGAAGTGCCTGCCCAAGTTGAACCTGACCAGAAGCCTCGTTTCCGCCCCGCCGGCGCGTCGCATTCCGTTAGCATCGAAGCTCGGCTTTTTCGCCTTCTTCTTTCTATTCCTGCTGGTGCCTGAATTGGCGATGGTGGCTGCGATTCCTAACCACGCCGGGACGAGCATTGATGCGATCAGGCGCAAGCAGGAAGAGGAGGAGGCACGCGAAGCCGAGGAAAATGAAGAGTAAATACGTTCACAGTGTACGAGTACTTTTACATTGCAAATAAACGTTCTTTGTGTACTCTTATACTGAGAAAGACAGAAAATGGCAGACAGTTTGTTATTCGGATATAATTGAATGTATGCACGTAACTATCATTGGGAAAACTCTTGCGTGACCC